TTCCGATCGAGCTGTTACAAAAACGGTGAAGTTTTTTTTTGACTACATAGAATTTTTTCTTTCTATTTTTGCTTCCAGGAAATGGTTTGATGTTACTGATGGCATATTTTTGAATTATGGCTGGGATACAAAGCAGCTGGCGAATAGTGCGACACGAGCGAAACTTCGGCACCGAAATGTTTTTGTGGGAGTTGACTGCTTCGGTCGTGGTTGTTTCGGTGATTTTTTCGTATATTAATAATTATGTTCTTAGGTTCCTTTCCTTATTTCCCACATAAATCGGTACTGACGAAGGACTCAAAGCGCTTCTAGCTTTTTCGGGAGGTAACTCTTAAGGAAAGATACCATCAGTAGCTTTGCCAGTGGGTTGTTGCTATTGTCAAATAATTATCAGTTGGTTCAATTCCCAGTGCCTTTGTTTCTCACAGATTGGAAAAAGGTGTAATTTTCACTTATTTCTATTCAAATTACACTTTCCGGATGCGCAGTCATACGAATTATTTTTACCAAGTAATTTTTTAACATACAAAATTCTTGTCGTTACTTCTGCCACTTCGCATTAACATTCACGCTACAGTAAATTTCATCTTGATGTGGCATTTTCCAGGTACTTTTGGTCTGAGTTTTGAGCATTTAATGCAGAAGCGAAACTGCCTGTTCTGACTATACCTTTACAAAATTTCAGCTTTCTGGCTTTTCTGGTTCTCGATTTAGTAATTTTCCCGCCAAAATTTCCATACGCCCTTACGTGGATGTTTGAGGCGTTTTTTCGAGAACATATCGAAGGTCAAACGTGCCATGAGTGGCAGGGCTTGTCTCCTGCTTTGCTGGGGTTGGTGTCGTTTAAGAAGACAACAAACACTGAAGTGTTCGTTCAGGTGGCGGAGGTTGGAACTGTCATGAAGCTTTCAAGCAAGTGCGATGGCACGATCTTTCAGTAGCTCTGTTTGCGCCAGGATGGATCGTTGAACAGATGCCGCATCGGGATATAATCGTCAACTCCCTTCGGTCTCTTTTCTCTGTTCAATGGTTGTTTTGTTTTTCTACTAAGAGGAAAATATAGCTTCTGTCTTACCACTCGCTACTGTGTTCGTTTCTCTCATTCTGGAAAATGCGAACACATTTGGTTTTAAATATTTTGTAGCGTCAATCTGGCTACATTTTATATTGTATCAACGCTAACTGTGAAGGAAGATGCTCCCCACGATCATTGACGTATTCAGTGGGGGCTGGGGGGAGGAGGAAAGGGTAGGGCGATGAGGGTTTTGCCCTTTTCCCCTCCCTAGCGACACTGGTAGAAGTTGTTTTATTAGAGGAAACTCTCTTTGATACTTCCTGTCGCCTCCCCCCCACCCCCCGTCTGCCCCAAGAAGCTCACTTTCATTTTACTTTGTCTCTTCCCTCCCCCCAGTTCGTCGTCGCAATTTAGGGCCAACCGGTGAGAGGAAAGGGGGGAGGGGGTAGTGAGCTTCCGATTTAGTAACAAGAGGGGGAAGGGGTAGTAGAATTTGCGATATACCGACGAGGAGGGGGAAGGGGGAAATTGGCTAATTCATCCCCTGGAAGTCACCCTGGGTTCGTCTAAGCTCACGGTCTGTATAATACC